GGAAAAGGTGAAAATGACGAGGGAAAAACTTTACTTTGTAGTACGAAAATACACAAAATGGAAAGCCATGATATCATAGTTCAATATTTCGGTGGTACATTGTTAACTTTTTATACAGAGAGTCGGCAAGATGATGTAACATCCAAACATCGCACTCGATTTGAGTGGGCTGATGAAGTGGGCGTGGTCATGAAATTCAGTAAGAGACTATTTGTACCCCGCGAGTTTCATATGATCGTGTAACAGCCTCGAACCAGTTTGCATTACCAGCGATGGGCTACCTGATGTGGACACAACAATGGCCGGTGACAGAGCTTAAAAAATTGGATAGAGAAGCTCGCAAGATAATTGTTGAGAATGGAGGAAAACATCACAACGGGTCAACTGCCATTTTATACCTGCCAAGGGAGATGGGAGGGAGAGGCCTGCGTTCGATCGAGGAACAGTACAAAGTAACGAAGATAAAGACGGCAGTGAAGTTATATAGCAGTGGCGACCCAGCCATGGCGGTGGTTCGTGAGTTTGAAGAGAGAGCGGAAGAGTTAGGACACAGTTCGTTAGTTAAAGAGGCAGCAAGGTATGCAGATGAGATGGGTCTCCAGTTGCAGCTGGAATACCCAAGTCCAGCTTGCATAAAACGTGATAGTGGAGAGGTGATAACAGCAGAGAAATTGAAGGTAGAGCTGAGAACGGTCTTGGAAGAGAAGACACGGGAAACGATGCATGAGCAGAATTGGCAGGGGAAATTACTCTCTGCGATAACAGAAGACGAGAGTCTTAACTTCAACGGATGTTATTGGTGGCTAAGCAGTTGGAAACAGTGCCCAACACATACTGTGGGGGGGATGTTTGAACTCTACGAGCAATTATTACCGACGAGGTTATATGCTTGCCAGAAAACGCACACAGACACATGTGGTAAGGCCCCTGAAAGTGTCGCCCGTGTCTTGGCTGGTTGTACCGCCCTCGCTCAGAATAAGTATCTTACTCGACATAACGCAGCCTTGAAAATACTTCTCTTTGAAATTCTGTACGACCTAGGCCTTGTAGAAACAGTCCCCTCTTGGTACTCGCCATTAAAACCGAAGCCAGTGTACGAGGCGAACAATACTCAAGCATTCTGAGACGTTCCTTTATTTGCGGAGCACCAAGAAGTTAGAGCCAAAACAATAAATGCGCGTATTATCGACCATGAATCGAGACGAGTCATCACGCTAGAGATGAGCTGCCCATGGTTTACAAATAGGTGGAAAAAGAATTAGGAGAAAACCTCGAAATACGGACCGCTTTGTTGGGAATTAAAGCGGAAGTACCAAGGATATGAAGTGAAACAATATAATATCATAATGGACGCATTAGGGGGATGGTGTCGTGACTTAGAAGCCGAAATGAAGGAGTTGGTCGGAAACAAGAGTAAGGGAGTTCTTCAAAATATGCAGAAGGCTGTGATCTCGGGAACACTAAATATCTCTCGGACATTTAAAGTTGTAGCATGAAAAATGAACATCGCGTACTATTTAACTCTTTGCCTTCAAAAATTCTGCGGATTATTAGAAACTTAGGAAGTGATCGTCACTGATTAACTCTTTCATAGCCGAAATAAGTAATAGGTTTTTAAAGAATTTAGAATGACTATTTTAGATTTGGATACCCGAAATAGCTTATCTTTTTTATTTCTCGAGGGGTTTTTTTTTGTTTAGTATATAGATTTGGATTTCACTGTAGTTAACGGGCTACGCTCATGCGCCCCGTCATACTATTCTTATTGTATATGGCATACAAAAGCTTTAAACTGCTGCCTATAATAATAATAATAATAGTAATAATAATAATAAACTGCTACGAGCAGTTTACCATGAGCAAAGGCAAATCTAACAGATGCCCCCAATTTCCAGTAAACAGGCCAGACCACAACAGCGGGATCTACGTTCCCTACTCTTGCGATAACTGTGTGGGTTCTTTAACTTTCCCTGCTAACCATGCCAGTACAGGGACGATGCAGGAGATGGGGGCCTACGGTTTTTCGTCCTTACTCGAGAAGACTAAGATGTCTAACAATTTACTGATATCATAGCAAAGGCAGCACATTCTCTTTAGTTAATATTCTATAATCATGAGTGTTGGTCTTGTCTGGGGCTTGAACCCACGACCTCCCGCTCGGCATTCCGGCGCTCTACAACATGAGCTAACCGGGCGGCGGTATAAAACGGATAATTATACAGTTCTGCGGTCATTAAATCGTTTTAACTCTAATTTTTTATTCTTTCCTTTAGGTGGGTAATAGTCTTGTGCGATTCTGTACTTCTACAATGACATAGAGAAATTCGTTCTTCACTGTTTTAAAATAACTTTCGATCTTCTGGTTTAGCAGCCTCCTTTTATAAGAGGCAAATGATAGGTACAAGGTGAATATATGTTAGATGAATTATCTTTTGAGCGACTCTCATTTCTTCATTTTCATCTACAGTAGGGCCCCGAGCTAAGCTTGCATGTTGAAATGAAACACTGTGAAACATGAAATGAAACACTTTGAACCACGTGCCATCCATTCACGTCGTGGGTCTACTGCAAGCCGAACACGAGCCCCGTGCCTCAGGCTGTACCTCGGACTATGAAGTTGGCCATGAACCACAGGATGGGAGCCGTCGGTAGCTGTGCCGATGTTGAATAGCTACTGATGGGTAACTAAACACTATCTATCATGAAAAACCATCAAACAGAGGATGGTTATAGATTTCAAGTATTCGCGATACCAAATAAAAACAGCAACATTGGCGAAGTTGGACTATTATTGACTGGTGAAAGTAATTTTTTGTTAGACTTTATCAGGAGTTTATTTATTAGAAAAGTGGCGAATATAGTTTTTCTGATTAAAAATCGTGTAGCACTTCACATTGAACTTTTACAACTCACCGCAGCTAATTCGCGAGATAAGCCAGAAAGCTTCACCACTGCGCGTAGTATGGACAAACGTCCAAATAACGAACGAAGTTTGAGAGTAGAAGAAGAGGAGGTACCGTGATGGAAAGCATAAAATACGTCAGACTGCAAATTGCGCTCGCCTTAAGGACTCCTACAATTTTGTTGGTCTGAGACATTTACTCGTAGTAATTTTATCAAATTGCACTGGAAATCATGTTGACATCTACACAAATTTGCATTTGTTTTTTTTTTTTTAATGCATTCAGACCTTATCTTACTTGATATGAACTTTGTTCAACACTCATAAACCCAGAGTCTCTGTTCAATGATTCCAGGTCAAATTCAAAGTTGAAGGTTTGTTACTTCTACTAATGAAATGCCTCCCAATTTCTAGAGTAAACCAACAGCTGAAGCTTCCTCTCTGCTTTTCATCCATTCGTGTCCATGGATAGAAGATTTCAATTTTCATGTAGGGAACAAGGCGCACTACAGTATTATAGCAAGGAGATGGTAACGTAATTACTAGTAATCCTTAATATTTTTTAAGAATAAGGAAATATCCTTAGGTATCACTGAGTCTAAGGGACGCTTCATCACACAAGGCTGACACAAGGCGTTCCTAGTGGGAAATTTATGTCGAATCGAATCTTGTACGTTTGGTTGCTTCATTTAATAATTATATACGTCTCTCTCAAAACTGCTTAAAATTCCTTGGTAGTATTTATATTTAAAATATACTCTGTCTGACCAATTTGACGAATAAAACATTCTTGAAAATGATAAAAAAAGATTGTTGTATTCATGGTGCAAGGCGTGGTAAACTGACACATGGGTGCTCGGGTATAAAAGAATATGTCAGGAAATCAATAAAATATTACTTTAAGTCGAATTAAGTATTGAGTGGAGAAAAGAGATTTCGATGTAGGTAGAGGTCTTTTGTCTAAATTCTTGATTCGTTCCTGAATTGTGCGCTTTGGAGATTGTTTAAATCTAGCTTTCAGTAGAGATTTGTATCACTTATTTTTCTTCCCTTTAAAGCTTTGAAACAAGCATCGCGTGATCGTTATTGTACAGTTTTACAAAGAAGGCTGAAGAGGATTCCAAAACATGTAAGGAAAACTTTTAAAAATGACAATCATGTAATTAGCACAATTGGCTTCTTTTTGACATCAAAACATTACCGGTAGCTTTGGGAAATATTAAACAAGATTGCACCTAGAGGTATTAAGCAGATGGGGGACAGCAAGAAATGGTGAGACCACAAAGGATTCGGAAATGTTGTATAGAGCAATTATGGTTGATAAAGTTTTGCATCATATGGCATAACGTTTAGCCTGGTGTCTCCCGTTGAAGTCATGACAAAAAAGAATTAATTTGACCAAATGACTTGAAACCTCTTCACAAAAAAACTTTTATAAGACAAATTTAATCATTGCAATTCTTTTTAGGTTTAATGCAACGATTATGCTACTGGTTTTTCTAGACGCATCGATTTCCTTTATTGGTGAGTTGATGAGTAGGCGAAAAAAAATTCAGTTTGAAAGTAGAAAGGTTACCATTGAGATCATCTTCAAATCCAATTTTGCTCGTGTTCGAACAGTTTCTTGACCAAAAATTTCCAGAGGCACATAGGTTGTTTCATAAAGATAAAAAAGGTGAAGTATTTCAGCTCCCTTTATTCCTGGCTTGTTTAGTGTAAATTTGATTGTAAATGAAATGGAGCCTGACCGTGGATGACCAGTTGGTATCACTTTATTGCGTCTTAGTGGACATCTATGTCTCCTCCATGGAATGAAAAAAATTCTCAGCCAAGATCCAGCCCTCTCGAATAAAAATGTTGGTCTTATCTCGCTATTTTGCTTGTCGTCAAGATATAAGCTAACAATAACACAACTTCATCAGGAAATACTTCTCATTAAATCAAGTATTCTGTTCTTTGTCACTCTCCTTTTGCATTGTCTCCATTACTCTTCACCCATTTCCGCCCCTTGTAATCGTTATTCAAAGCCAAAGCACAGCCCTTTAATCAAGGCAAATACTTGGTGAATGGAATAATGGATGTTCTACCTAATGGTAACTTGAAACTTCGCCTGGATGCAAGAAAGGAAAGCAGCGGAGCTGGTGAACAACCCCTAAACCCCACAACTGTGTTACCTACAAGTGGCTACACGACTGAACCTCCCACTGGGGGAGCTACCAGCACGGGAACAGCACCAACCCCCGGGTCGACCATTGGATTCAGTACGACGCCTGGGTCCAGTATATCCCCCGGAATAAGAAATCCAGGTACGACGGCTCTTCAAAGGCGTAAAAATATTTTGCTGATAAAATTATAGTGTCAGTATCTACAATTGATAGTAATAGGACTGAAAATAAGTTATTGTCAGAAATATTGTCAGATTTTCTTGTTTTCACGTCCTCACATTCTAAGAATAACATTCAAACAAGAAAGGTCCTCTCTTACACTCGAGTAATGCTTGAAAAATTATATATTGAATATCGCAGATGATCATTTTAGGGACGGTCATCGTCTCCATGTTTGAAAGAATTATATAACACTCTTTAAGTTTCCCGAAAGCAGCAAACGTCGATAAATGGCGATCAGCCACCAAATTAGGCAGAGGGAGAGCTACAAAAATATGGTCCTTGCCATACGAAATTAAAGACAGTACAAGTTTTCATCTACAGGCGGCAATCCAAGACGGGTTGCACTAAACTTGCACAACGACCACCGTCGAGTACACAATGCTCCAAGAATGAGGCTCACTTCCCAACTAAACGATGATGCTCAGAGGTATGCAGACAAACTTGCCCGTGAAAGTTTGTTTGTTCATGACCAACAAAATAGAAGGCAAGGAGAAAATCTGAGATTGCAATGCGCCCCTGGAAGTGATGTAGATCTGGTTAAGAAGGCTGTTGATGCATGGTAAGCCTCACCAAAGGCAATGCAAATTTAGTAAAATGTAATTTGGAGTCGACTTTTAGTGATCTGGAGTAAAGCTTAGAGCAAATCCCTAGTGAGTGCCGAATGTATTCTGGGATTGAATTGGTTTTGCTTATGTTTGCCTAATCATTTTTTCTAAAAACCTCACTAAAGCCAACTAGGAAATAGTCGCTGAGCATTACGTGAAGTACCAGTAAATACTGACCAAGAAAACATGCATTGAATTTTCTGCCGATCTATTACTGTTGTTGTTTTGATGTTGTCTATAAATAGATAAATAAATGCCATTGCAGTGCCATTAGAATAGCTTCCATCCGCTCTCTCATTTTTCAGGTATAACGAGGTTTGTACGTACAATTTCGACAATCCTAGAGCAAGTTCTGGCGTCACCGGTCACTTTACTCAGGTCGTGTGGAAAAAGAGCACCAGGCTTGGCATTGGGCTCGCCAGAGGAAGCTACGCATTTGGTTCACACTTATTTGACAACTGCCTGTTTGTAGTCGGTCGGTATCTAAAACCAGGAAACGTATTTGGTGCCTATCAACAGAATGTTTTGAGGGGCAGCTTTAACAGGCAGATGTGTCGTTCTTCAAACACTTCCGGAAAGAGAAATAAGCTGTTCCGAAAACTAAATTCGGGAGAAAGTAAAAGAAAGAGCACCTTAGAGATGGTTCTATAACTAAGGGAAAACCATATTATATGATGCACTTTAGGAAGGATGGAATAAAGTCATCTGTGGCAAATAGATAATGGCTATGCTTACCTTGGTTTGATTTTATTAACTAGCAATCAAAGAAGAGTTCATAGAAACAGTTGGTCGGTTAATATTATTGGATTCACAACATAGGGAAATATGGCCGCGCATGAAAGAGAATTTATCTCATGGCTCTTTCGAGGAAATCGAGATAAAACTGAAGAATAAGCAAAAGTTTTGGAATATCTACATAAGGTGACATAAAATTCAACCACAGTTTATAAGTAAAACAAAATAATGTGGAAGGACACGGCCATGAACACCTTTCAGTGTTCAATACTTAATCGCCTTGAACTTAATTACTAAGAACTGTGATATCAACGGAATCACTTTCACAAATTTACTGTAAACCAACATAGTGCATTGGATAAGAACGGAGAATCCTGATTAAAATCGCTTGACCAATCAAAGTGAAACCAATGGAAGATGGGACTTTGTACCCTGATGAGTTGGGTAAGAAGATAAGACTGACTACAATGATTTCCGCTTCATTTAAGCCAGGGTGGAAAACGTAAGATAATCGTAAGCTTACGTGCATACAAAAAGAAATAAAGAGTTCATTATCCTGCTCTGTGTATGTTAAAGATCCGGAACTATGCATCATCATGAAATTCTTCACATCATATTACCGAGGTTATTGTCCTCTACATCGATATGAAATGGGAAGGCTTATGTCATCTAAATACAGGTGGGTAGTTTCAATTCTTTAGCTATGGGAGGATTACGACTGACAGGAGGCCAAAAAAGCTCCACTCTCAACTTCGTATTTCTACTCCTTTAAAACCTAGAAAATGTAAGAAACGTTTGAAAAACTAGCAAACCTATCTTTTGAACAAAATGATTTGGTGATGTAACTCCATGATTGACGCCATCAATTTTCCATTGAAGAGTATAGATCTACGTGTATCTACTGACTGTGCGTCGCAGCTTGATTTTCAAAAGTTATAAACCCTCGATTTTTGAACTTTTTGGGAGAGAAATATTGTTTTTATTCCTTGCCTCTTCCTTTCAATTTGAAAACCTATTTTTTTTCTGCTATTTTTATTCATCAGGAATCTAAAGAATTTATTTTGGTTAAATTATCATGGCCTTGTCGTTTGGTTAGGTTTGTTTTCACTGAGAGGTAAGATCTTTTGCTCGTTGGAAACAATCATTTATCATACAACTAAGAGACTTTCAGACATGATTGTCATGGGCGTTTTTATATTCTTATATTTGTGTTCCACAGTAAGTGCAGGCTCGTTGCGAATTCCTGTAGAGGGACAGCTCATATACGACAGTTCATCAAAGATGGTAGATCTCTGTCTGTCGGCGCACATGTGTCCACCGTGTGTTTTTGACACTCTTTGTAACCAGGGCGGAATTTATCCCATGCAAGGAACAAATGCTCTACCTTACTCCAGCAACGCTTCGCCGTTAACCTCTGTTTCAACGACCCCAACATCACCGTTAACCTCTGTGTCATCGACCCCAACATCTTCGAGTTCGGAGCTAGCCTCGACAGAGTCTCCTTCAACCACCGAAGCTACCACGCAGATTATTTCCACGACGGAGGAACCGGCTAGTAGTACAACAGCATCAACCCCTTCCAGCAGCAGCATCACTGATCACACCCCTTCATCGGTGTCTGAGACAACTTCAATCACAGAGGCTACAGAAACAACCGAAAGTGGTAATCTAAGTCCTACAACATCGGTCACGGCCTCAGCAACAACGGTCGGTGGGGGAATTGACGCAGAGACAGGTAATTACATGGTTTTTATCGGACAAAAATCTGATATAGGGAACTAAGTATGAGAAAATAATCGGGACCTACTGGTCTCCCTGACAATTGAAACGATCCACTTTCCCATTTTTTTCTGCACTGGTCTGAAAGAGGGCTGAGATACAGGTTCGAGTTATAACCGCCGCCCAGTTAGCTCAATGGATAGAGCGCTGGACTGTTGTGCGGGAGGTCAAGGGTTCGAGTCCCGGCCGGACCAACACTCAAGGTCTTAAAATAATTGAGAAGAATTTGCTACCTTTCTATAACATCAAGAAATGGTCAGATATTCTAGTCTTCTCGGATAGGGACGAATAAATGGAGGTCCCGTCTCCTGCAGGGCTGGGGGAAGGAGACGTTAATTTCCCACACACGAGATTACTGTGTGATGGATGTCCTCCCCTTGGGTGGGATGGTTGGGTTTACTTGACCCGCAGTAATTGGCGCAAGCTGTTGCGGTGTCCCCTGGCGAATCAAATAAATTAAAATTAAATTAAATATGTACAACTACGTATTGTAGTGCTTTCTGTTTCGGGGGGAGGCTCAATGTCCAATTCATTCGTTATCAACGGGTATACCAAAATACCAGCGTTCAATCGTTTTGCAGTGTCTTACATAGCCCGATTCGTCCTTTTCAACCTTTAAAGTGCGAAGTTTCTATAGCTTACATCAGTTCCTTTTTGCTTTATTAACATATAGATGTTCACCAAAAGGGATTGGATAAGCACAACTATTATCGCAAAATACACAACTCACCTGCACTAAGTCTGAGCTCACAGTTGAACAGTGATGCCCAAAAGACTGCTGAAAGAATTGCAGCTCAGGGTAAACTTGTCCACACTGACGACTCGGAGTTGGGTGAAAAAGGAGAGAATCTTGGAAAGTTGTGCGTAACGGACGAAACTCTAGAAGAGGTTATAGTTAAAGTTGTTGAGAGATGGTGAGTAGATTATGGGGCTGGTAAAATCCTATGAAGTTCTCAAAAAAAAAAACAAATTAATGCTGCAAAAATGCAGGAAAAGCAGGAAAACTTTGGTTTTACATCACTGTGCTATGCAATTGGCCTAGAGAAGCAAAACAATATATTGTGTAGTTTTATAATTTTTTTTATCAATATTTAGGCAGAAAATTAATTTCTGGTTAATTCTGGAACAACAAGGTCTGAAAACTAATGCAAAAACATTTTTTTTACTTTCTTTTTCGTTGTACTGAAGGTATAATGAGGTTTGTAAGTACGATTTTAGCAAGCCAGAAGGGTCACAGTCAACTGGACATTTTACACAGCTCGTTTGGGCCTCGACTAGAGAACTCGGTCTCGGATGGGCTAAAAAAGATGAAGGTGACTTCCCTTGTTACTATGTAGCGGGAAGATACAGCCCCGGTGGAAATATTGACAACAGATTTGAAGAAAACGTCATGAAAGGAAGTTTCGACTCCTCATACTGTTCATCAAAAAGGCGAACTCTTAAACGTTTGAGAGACCCGGTCTGGCCAAAATGGTATAATGTTATCGTAAGAAGTCTCCACCATTACTAATTTAGTCATACTTTAAAAACTCGTTTTATTCCAGTTTGAGATGCTTCGGTATCCCTTCTTACAATTGTCATGATAAGGGAAAAAGGAGCGAGGTACAACTCTATAATTTTACACAATCATTCATGTCGACATTACATATCACAAGCCAGACCAAGTATGGACCCTTGTGGGACGCCAGACTTTATTTGCTCAGAAGCAGACTGTGCGCTGCCATAGACAACAGATTGACATCGATTTATAAGATAGTTCTCAAACCACTTCAGTTCTTGGTTTTGGATGTCAAACCCAGGCAATTTCTTTATGAGAAGTTGGTGATTCATCGGTCGAAGGCTTTTCGAAAGTCGACAAACACCGCTGCCGTAACGCGACCATCGTCTATACCTTTCCTAATACAATCCGTGAAATATGTTACCGCGTCCTGGGTAGAGTGATTTTTCCGAAACCCGCACTGGAAGGGAGATAGCTGGTTGGACTTTTCTAAATGATGGAGTAGCTGAATTTCCACGGCTCTTTTAAGGATCTTCGAAGCCACCGGTAAAACGGAGATGGGACGGCAGTTATCCATACACGTATTATCCCCATCTTTATATAGGGTCACCACCCTTGCATATTTCCATTCCTCCGGTACAACTGCAGAGGAAATCGAGAGATTTATTATGGCTGTTAGAGGAGCTGAAATGCTTGAAGCCGCATCCTTTATTAGACGGGCTGGAATTCCGTCAAGTCCTCTAATAATAATAATAACTTTATTTCTATAGCGGTATATACAAAAGCTCTTTATCGCTTTACAATCTAATAAATATCTAACTAACAATCTTACTAAGACAAAATCAATTAAAAGCAAGTATGAAAAGATAAGTTTTCAATCTAGATTTAAAGACGTCAACTGATCGACTTAATTTAATGTCTAAGGGAATATCATTCCAGTGCTTTGGGGCAGCGACTGAGAAGGCCCTGTCCCCATAGCTCTTCAGGCGCACATTCGGTACTTCTAATAAATGTTTGCTAGCTGACCTAAGATTTCTTGTAGGGCTATATGGGACTATAAGTTGACTTAGATACAGAGGCGCCAGACCATTGAGAGCTTTAAAAGTTAACAGTAATACTTAAAAGGTAACTCGCTGCTCCACTGGTAACCAGTGTAGCTCCTTAGGGACGGGGCGAATGTGTGCAGTCCTAGGGTGCCCAGCTACGAGGTGTGCAGCGCAGTTTTGAACGCGCTGGAGCTTCTGAATGATACACTTGGGTGACCCGAGGAGCAACGAGATACAATTGTCCAGACGACAAATAACATAAGCATGAACGAGGGTCTTTGTGCTCTCAGAAGTCAAATACATTCTGATCTTAGCGATATTACAAAGATGGAATAAAGCAGATTTACAAACGGAACTCACATGCCTATCGAGCGACAAGGTTTCATCAAAAACCACTCTTATGTTCCTAGCTTTGTCAGACCGCTCAACACGATGATCACCAACCAGAATACTGTCCAAAGATGGGCGTGGCCTATATTTTGAACTGATAACGAGTAGTTCCGTCTTGTCCCTATTCAACTTAAGAATGTTACAAGACATCGAACGATCGATATCTCTAACACAAGATTCAACCCGAGCGACAGAATAAGCCTGATCATCCCCACAGAGAGAAATGAAAGACAGATACAACTGAGTATCATCAGCATAGAAATGATAGCCCATGTTGTATTGCCTGACAATATCCCCAATGGGTAGGTATAGAGCAGATATAAAATCGGTCCCAACACAGAACCATGTGGTACTCCGCACGACAGCGAACGCGTGACAGACCGCGCACCACGAATGCTCACAAAATGAGATCTGTCACTCAGGTACGATTTAAACCAGGCCAGAGCTAGATCGCAAAGACTTCTGCGCTCAGATGGTTTCTGTTAAGAGTTGGGATATTAGAAAGCAATTTCTCCACAACAGTTGCAAAAATGTGCAAAGACCATTTGCAATGGTGATAGCATCCGTAGTTGTTTTTCCATCTACTGTGATAGGCTCAATCGAAGCTGAAGTTTGAGGTGTAATCGATTTGTTGGGTTCATCCTCGGTGTAAATTAAAAACCTGTGAAGCTCACGAGTGACGTAAAACAAAGACAACAAAACATTATAAACAAGAGCATACAGCAAAACAATACCTCATGAAACAAAGAAAACCTCGTCAGGTTTTTAGACCGAGGATGACCTATTTGTTGGGAAGGACTTTCTTAACAGCTTTCCAGAAGTTTTCGGGATCATCAGAATTTTCTTCTATGATTCTGCGATTGTAGCTGGATTTAGCTCTGCGAACCTGATTTCTCAGTCTCTTATATCTGGACCAGTGTAACTCGGTGTTTGTCCAGCGAGCTTGGCGGTAAAAATGATCTCTCTCTGTCATTACTTTCTTTATCGTGTTTGACAACCAAGGGGTGTTTCTGCCGCGAACTTTCTTTTCAATCTGAGGTGCGTGGTTATCAACAACGCGCAAGAAACTTGTTCTAAAGTTCAACCACACATCATTGACATCCTGACACTCACTGACGTTATCCCACGAGACAGATGACAGTTCGTCTTTAAATTGAACAGCACAGTACTTGCTGTGGTTTCTGCATTTTATCGTCCGTGGTTTAAACTTCAGCGAATTCAAATTTCCAACGAAAGCCGACATGTCATGATCACTAAGCGCTGACTTGACTACCTTGACTGAGGTAATATTGTGGTTGACAAGTACAAACAATATCAATAAGAGTTTGGGATTCCCTTGTGACTCTTGTAGGCTCGTTAACTACCTGTGTCATGTTTATGCTTTGAAGAATGCGTTAGATCTTCTTTGTTTCACCTTAAAGTGCCCATAATGTCAAAAAATTTTTTTCGTTCATCTAATTCTACATTTCACCAAATGAACTTCTGGGAAAAAATTTTCGATTTGGATAAAACGCAATTTTTTTATAATTTTTTAAAGACATTCAAATTTGCCGCTATTTTGGTCCAACATTCGCACCAGTCTTCCTCGGTTTAAAGTGAGTCGTGACGTAGGTTCAGGAACACGTGATTTTGGGTTGAGACTTATCTGACTTGAAAACAAGTGGGAATTTGCTTCAGAGTGGTCACAATATCGTAAGCTCACAATATCGTAAACGACACGCACTCGACCAGTGGGTTTATATGCACTTTAAGGTCAAGTGAGGTTCCTGAACCTACGTCACAGACATCAGTCACGTGGTAATTTTGAGCACGTTATTCTTGTGATAAGCGGCAGGGGTCGACCGCAAGAAAATAGAATTTTGAACTTTTTTTACGAATTTTGTAAAAATTCGTAAAAAAATCGCGTTTTATCCAAATCGAAAACATTTTTCACCGAAGTTCATTTGGTGAAATGTAGAATTAGATGAGCGAAAAACGTTTTTTGACATTATGGGCTCTTTAACACCTCGCACCAGGTAAAAAATTACAATTTAAATCGCCCATTATAATCACTTCTTTCATTAGCAATTTCTAAAACATTCTCAAACGACGACACAACTCCACATTCAAGAAATCAGATCCTTTTGGGGGACGATAAAGTGTTCCCAATAAAATCCCTTTTGAGTGAGGCTGAATAAGTTCTACCCATATAGTTTCTAGGTCAGGTTTTTCTAAATCTTCCCTTCTAAACGCCGATAAAGAATCTGCTAAATAAACAAGAACCCCGTCACCTCTGCGTTTATTTTGGCGATCCTTGCGGTAAAGTTTATAGCCATCAATCTCTATTTCAGTATCGCAAACATTGTTAGAAAGATGACGTTCAGTTATTCCAAGAATACTAATTCCTTTGTGCGACTCTAATAAAACACGAGCTTGGTCAATCTTTGGTAGCAAGGATCGGATGTTTTGATGACATACCTTTAGGCCCTTCGAAAGTAACAACTCCGAAAGACTTTTAAGTTTAGGGTAGGCTGTGTTATCTCTCTCGGTGACTTCCTCAGCGTCCATCACGCCACCTACACTGCAGCTGTCACAACACTTGCTGTCCTCGAACGAAATTCCGATACACTTTAGGTGGAAAAGACCATTGCATGCTTGACACGAAGCTTCACCTTGGTTCCTTCGGATTGTCTTAAGACAAAGTAAACACGAAGGACGCTTAGTGTGGTTTACCGGACCAGGGTTTAGAGATATATTTCACACTTGCAACAGAATCCCGGCGGCGAAAAAATAGTTCACCAGTATAATTAACTGTCCAGGGTTGCCAAATTTGAAAGTAGTTCTGAAGTCTCGCTTTCCACAAGGAAAGCCTTCCCGACAGCCGAATCGAAATTTCCCTTGTTTTCACGTCTCCCGTAACGGCCATCGAGGTGATAAAATTAACAGAGGCATAACTTGGTTCAAACGAAGCGAAGCTGACAAAATGGCACGTCAAAGAATTCGCACCATGTTGTGAGCAAGGGATAACTTTTTGGGGCGAAAGTTGAGCAGCGCCGACTGAACGACAAGGAAAACCACAAAGCACAGCAAAACATGACCAGACGCCATGATACTTGATGCTTTCCGGCGGGACACAACTGTCGAGCAAAAACTTGTCAAACTCCAAACAGATTCCCTCGAAGAGCTGAATCCTAAAAGTATTTTCTGGGAAAAATCATTAAACAGCTAGGCGTTCGACCGAATTGGTCTGACACTTATGGGAAGGTAGCTCCTCTGGGGGTTTTCGCTCAGTAGTGCGAATTGGTCTTTTTAGGTGCGAGTTTGTAGGTGGCGAATTTGCAATGGGACGAAAATTCTAAACGGCTGATCACTTTGTGAAAAGTTAGACATCATTGGACCGATTTAACCCCGAAAAATGTTCAAGTAAATCTCTTTTCTACCTATCACTAATACCTCCCTGTTGACGATTGTCTTCATCATGGTCACAAAGGGTGAAAACGAAATTTATCTCTAAACGCCTTTATGATTGGTTCTAAATCTATTAGAACCAAAGTTTACACACCATGGCCAAGTCTATGTTTATAGGTAAATGCTTCTGGCTTTATGATAAAATAATTAGTTATTTGAAAAGCATAACTGGCTTATTTGGGTCGTGCTGTAGGACCCAAAAGTTCCCTAACCATTTTAAATGAATGAAAAATGGTTGCTGTGTTACCTCTTGTAGGCTTAGTCTCAAATTAACTGAGCAAGCTAGGAGCTTAATTCTCTCTTTGAGTGGACAATTAAGTGTCTCACTTCATTTCTTCTTTCTTCATAAAAGCATTCTGAGATTTCAAGACGGGGTTGGCTTTTCATACAAAGAGAAACCGACCAAAATTCAGCTGGAAAGAAAGCTATTAGCCAATGTAGTCACGTCTCGGAGAATTTCATGTAATTCTAATATTTTTGCCCAACCAACCCTTCAATGCATCTACCAGTTGAATGGGCACGGTTCTCTTGTGACTGGTATGTGAGCAGAGGTCTTGTGTTACTGAATTCGGTCACACGCTGAACACCAGCGCCTTTCAATTGAACTGAAGTTAATATTGATGGTAGTTTTGTTCAAATATTTGAACGAATGGAAACAAAAGCAATTCATTTATTTGGATTTTTGACACGCCCTCCTGAAGACTGGAGTTAGGTGAGTTTTAGAGAGAATGTGGTTTCAATGTTTTCCCGAGGAAAAACCGTTTTAAATACCTCGAAATTATTTACCTGTGACTTATCTACCGCTAGAGCACTACACGACTTTATTTCGTAACAGATCTTGCTTTGAAGAAGTTTTGTTTTACGCTTGAGAAATGTATCGGGATAGCGATTAAAAAGTCAGCTACTGACGATTTTGTTTTGGAAAAAAATAATGAAAAAAGGTTTATAACGAAAGTCTTTAATTCAAATTCTAAGGTAATGGAAGATTACTTCACGTATTAGAGGCTCCTTTGCTTTCCTTACATCGCTTTACATCTCCAGACAAAACATAAGAGATCCTCTTTTACTTTAACCGTAACGCAATGAATTATTTAAATTAAAAGAGTAAATCAAAGTAGAAAAAGACAGACTTATCTCAATATCTACCTCTCACTAGAAATTTCATTCGCTAAGACGCGATACTTAATATACTGGCATGGATAATACTTGGATAGTTTTCATGGTATTAAAGTTGTTGATGAAGGAAAAGTTGGGTGTTCATTTAAGGTCTTTTTTCTGAAACTGTTTACTCCTAGCTTACCTCTAACATCACATCGTTAATTCAAATGTGGAATTAAAAACGATACCCCTGTGAAACAAAGATGGAAAACAAAGCATGAGCTAAGAATTCTGAGCGTTATTTTGCTACAATGCTCCTAAAAAATTTATCAAAACCTACTTTTCCGAATCTTTTATGTAAATTGAAGTTTTTAAATTTTGATGATCAACTTCCCACCATAGGGCTCTTACGTGTAACCATCATGACCGGGCCTTTCATTTTCCTGACCATGATTCAAGCAATATATGCCACGAATGGTAAGTGACAATTATGTTAGTTATCTTGGAAGGATCATTTTACCCACAGTTCCTACGGGAGGAAGGATAAGCTCTTGACAAAGTGTTGTCAAGGACTGAGCCCAATCATTTTTGCCGTAGTAACTTTGAATCACTTTCGACCAGCAATGATAATTATCATTATAAAAATATTAGGGCTACTTTTATTATTAACAGTAGTGCTGTTAGTGGATTAGTATTGTAAGCATCTTTTTTATCATTACCATCATTTCTTACATTATTATCATTATAATAGTCTTAATCAAAATCATTAGTTTCGCTATCATTATTATGATTGCCATTAATAGAACTATTATTGGAATGAAGATAACTGTTACGAAAGGTAAGCCTGTTGTGCTGTTAGACTCTTTCAAAACTTAGCGAACATTTTATTTCTACACCAACACTCGATCGGTTAGCAGCAAAAGAAAATAGTCAAAATATACGATCACATCACAGGGCATTAGTGTTGAAGGACCCAAAACGTATTCTACGCAGATAAAGCTAATATATATAGAGAGAGAGAGAGAGAGAGAGAAAGAGAGAGAGAGAGAGAGAGAGAGAGAGAGAGAGAGAGAGAGAGATTTTCCCAGGCAAAGTGCACACGAACAAGTAGGTTTTTTAATGCATCGCAAGGAGCGAATAAACATCGTTCGTGCACATTGCCCATGGTATTATGTTTTTATTTCGCATGTCAATGACTGGAAGTGAACAATTATGACAGGAACGATAGTATGTATGAAATAAATTCCTAATCCAAAAAGGCTGCTGATCCTATTGCTACTTGTTTTGTTGTTGTTGTTGTTGCTTTTTTTTTTTTTACTAGACATTACGGCTGTTTCCATTTGCTAGAAACGAAGCCATGAAAATGCATCTATGAGTAGCATCAAAAAAACTTCAGTTGTAAGTGTGCGTACTTTTAAAATTCGTAGAATTTACAATCCAAGGAAATGGTTCATATGAAGCCGGGAAACTAAAAGTGGACCTTCACCTCGAGTCGACTATGAACATAACATCTGAAACAACTGTCCCCCCAACTTCTATCATGACAACGCTACCTCCAACCACAAACGCGACAACTATTCCTCCGACGTCGTCGTCGAGAACATCTCCAGCTGCATCTGAAACAATTCCCCCTTCTACACTACCTCCAACACCAGGTCCTACAGTAAATTCTACGACGCTTGGGCCCGAGACAGGGGCCTCATCGAGACCCACAAATATTACGTCAACTCCAACAACCTTACCGCCAACAGCTGCAAAGGGTGACAACATAACAAGTACCACAGGGCAACCGACAATAAGTGCGGCAGTGAATGTCACTACCCCAACACCTGCGCCAGAGTATAATGATGGAAAACCTTTAGCAAACTCCAAGCAGTGTAAGTAAAATATTCAACCCACATTAGATATCAATTTTAAAAGAGAACGACAAATTAAAAACCCCACCGCTTTTAGCCTAATTGTTACCTTCCAGTGTGTTCTCGTTAACGTTTTCATTCCTCATCAATAGATGAATCCTTTTTAAAATACTTGTGTTTCGGGCAGTAACAGCTGTAGTCACTGTGGTGCTACTAAGGTTAGATGCATAGAAGTTGCTATGGCATCGACAAAAGAGGTGGCAAAGGTAGCAATAGCTATCAGGGGTTTGCACTCAAAAGCAGCAGTGATGGGAGGGGGGGTATTGAAGAGAGTGGCAATGATAGCGGAGGTAGTAATAGTATTAGTGACAGAGGTGAGTAGCACATTAGTGACAGCTCAGCGGAAGTGACAGTGGAAGCAAAGGGCGACGTAGAGGCCGCACCGGAAGTGTGTACACAAGTCTGATATAAATGGGGTTGTGATAAGGACAATGAATTTGAACGACTCCCTAACATAAGCTTGGATTTAGTTTCAGCTTTAGATCGTACAGCCCTCGAGCTGCACAATTACTATCGCTCGATTCACGAGGCGCCTCTCCTAACCCTTGATGAAAACCTCCGAAAAGATGCTCAAGATTATGCTCTTAAAGTTGCTAGGAGCCAAATGCTACGGCCAGAACAAGATTTTGTGCTCAACTCTAAAAATGAAGGAGAAAACCTGGGATTTAGATGCTCGACAATACGACCTGATCCTGAGAAAGCCTTGAGACAGATAATGAAGCGGTGGTAGGAAATTCTCAGAGTGCTAACTCTCTTTACTCTTATCTTCTCTTACTTTTTCTCGTCTATGATCCTAGCTTTCCTCTCATTTTCGATATTTTGCGACTCGGCAGTGTAAATTGAACTGTCACTAGTAGAATTATTTCTCTGGTTCCCCCTCTTTATTAATGATCAAATCCCTCATTAGAAACTTTGTAATGTTACCGTGACAACCAAAACTACTATTTGGGAAAATTCCTGATCTACAGAAAAAAAATGTGCGAATGCTTTTTTGGACATTTGTGGCATAGTACAGTGTCGAGTGTTTTGTTCATGAAGTAACACTCAAATTATTCATTCAATTTTTTTATAACTGATCTTCAGGTATGACGAAGGCTGCCAATACAACTTTCAAGCACCACCAACGGACAAGTACTCGTTCAGACACTTCACACAAATGACATGGAATGGAAGCAGAAGGCTAGGCGTTGGCATCACCTATGGGAAAATTAACAATCTGCATTGCTTGTACTTTGTCGCACGTTACAGACCCCGTGGAAACCTGGGAAACAAGCTCATATATATCAATAATGTCAAGAAAGGAGTTTTCGATTCGTCTTTTTGCAGACCAATAGTAAATCAAGTGCCTAACCAAGAGGTCATTTTAAAAGAATAAACTGAGATTAATTTAACGTGTACAAACAAATGAAAAGAAAACTGCAATTTTTCTTTAACATATGCTGAATATGTATTTATAAGAAGTGTATTATGAGGCTTTTTATTACTGATGATACTGGTAGCAGAATATTTAAGAGTGACGATGCGTAGTTCAGAAAAGCTATGTTTAACACATTAAGAGCTGTTGAATAAATAAGGCACCTGTACTTTGAAACTAATGCAAAACGTGTGGTGAGCGTTTTGAGCAACCACGTCCCTCCCTACTAAGATTCTGCTATGTGGTCTGATACTTTTGTTGTTAGGGATCGATCACAACTCCTTTTTCTTTCATTTTGGGCAATATGGCATAGATCAAACCCTTAGCTTTTGTTCAACGACTTGTGGTCATCTGTTGAGAATTACTATGGTCACTCTTAGGAACACCTAAAATTCAGCTAAACATTCCCGTGACTCAGGGTTGAGCCGGTACAATGTTCTACGGTTTTCAGGTCAAATCTACTGTAATCCCATCAGCCAGATTGTATCTAATCGCCATTTCAGTCCCTACCGCTAAAACAAGATTGAATCAGATTATAGAACTATTTAAGGAAGTAACCTAGGATAGCATTGGCTCAGAACACTTTGTGATTGATTATACATAGCTTTGTAAGTTATGCCTACAATCTTGTTACGGCTTCTACAATCACGAAAAATTAACAAAAAAGAGGAAAACTAACTAAAAAGAGGTAAACTAACTAAAAAGAGGTAAACTAACTAACAAGAGGTGCTTGACTATTCTATCTTTTATACATAAATTTTAAGGTACCTCGGTGAGCTAACAGCGGAAAACACGACTGGTGGGGTGTTAAAAGCTGGATTGGTGAAACAACCAGTTAATTGTACAGGTTCCGGATGAATAAATTCACACCTTTTTCACCTCATTGCCAAGCAATAATAATTCCAAAAATACTTTGAATGTAGTTGGTAATTGTTATGAAACTTACTTTTTTGCCTCACGGATTTCTTAAGGAGTTCTACAGTATTTAATTGAACTCCCAACGGACAACAAGAGATGAAGGACAGAAATCAAAGCTTTTTACAGGATGACAAAAGACATACAGTTATTGTTTACTCAGAGAATAATGCTGGTACTGATATTACATATTTACCTAAACCTGTTTTAAATGAATAAGTGGAAGAAATTATTACTCATTTCTTGTCTCTCGAATTTTCGTCACTTTCAAGTAAGTTATGGTTTCTTCAACACAAAAATTTAAGAATTCATTGTTACTTCTCTTTGGCTTCTGACTTGGTGATTTCTGTATGAAAAATAGAATCAAGGATCGACAGAATAAGTTCTGTAGTTTAATTTGGTGTCATTCTTAATCGAATGAATAAACATAAACGAGTACATTTTTTTAAAACTTTCTTCCAATTTCTTCTCAATTCACTAGACATATTTTGATACTCTTAATTTTTCAGACGTTTTTTTTTAACCAATAACCTTTTATTCTTACTTGTACGTTTCGTGATGCTTTTAATGTTATTGTTATTTTGTGGACTCAGGGATAGTATTTAAACACTGCCTAAGCCCACGTTCCTGATTGTTGATGGTTTATGTTAGTGCCACGGCTCTTTATTTAATTGACCAAGTTTACTTTTTAGAATGAAAGCTTTGCAACTGTCTGCCATATGCCTTTCCATTGTCATAAGCATTTACTGGAACTATGGTGAGTGATTGAACCTTGAAAACAAACTGTTTCTTATCAGGCGCTCTTCAGCAAAACCTCGACTATAAACCCCGAACAAAAACTCAACCTTTGGATGACGGTTGTTTACATTGTGCCCCTTACTCATTCTATTTGCCCCAATAAGAACAGGAGGTTAAAAGGGAGATATATACAGGAATTAAGTTGTTCAGCTAGTCTTTGCATTATGGACGCTTCCATGCTACACAAAATGGAACAACGACGAAAATGAAAAACTGGTATTAATATAGTGTAAGTTTATAAAATTCACATCATAAAGGCAGGAGGAAAACCACTGCGTCCTGTGGAGGATTGGCTCTCGGGAAAAGCGAGAACCATATTCAGTTGACAGCAGAGTGGTGTAGTTTGAATTGAAACAATTCATATTCGTAGTCGTAAGCTCGTTATATATTCCATCTTTTACTTTTAAGTCCAAACAGGAAAACGAGGCCCAGTGAAGGATACTAAAAAGGACCAGTTCATGATAACAGGAAAGGGAACAACTAAAGGGGGCAAGACGAAGATAATCGTTTACATGCAGACTACTGGTGAAAATCCAATCAATCCAGCACTAGGTAAGAAACAAGGGAAGAAAGCTTCTAATGTTACACCTGATCATTCTGGTAAACTGAAACTCCGAGTCCGTCACCTACCACAACAATACCACTGTCTGCTCAGGTCACAAGTGCATCACCAAAACCAAAGAAAGGGAAACACTTTTAAGTCACACCAAAACACCACCAACAGGTGGCAAGGCCTAGCCAAAATCGGAGATTTGCACCGGGTCGGAGTGTGAAAAACTCCAGCGCAAAAAAGTTGGTATCAAGCTCTTTAAATAATGCAGCGAGGGCTACTGTGGACTCTGCTAAAGCTACATCAACACCCTCTGCGATTATCAAGTCCTCGTCAATGACCAGTGCTGGTTTCCTTTCCTCTTCTAACTCTGCTAAATCCACCCCTGCGCCTCAGTCCAGCGGAGTGGTGCCGGTAAAAAGCAAACAAGCCGCTACCAGTGGCTCACCCGGACCTTCGCCGCAACCTTCAAGAAAGCAACCTACAACCAGTAGTTCGTCGGCATCTTCACCTCCACCCGATCAGTCTTCGAGTCAGGCTTCAGTGCAGCCTAGTGCTACAAATAGTACAGCTATCCAATCTTCATCTGTATCAAGTTTAGCTCCTTCTTCATCTTCACCTCCAGCAGTAATCTCTTCAACTTCAGTTTCCCTTGACCCAAGTGCGACGAAAAATGCAGTTCCTCAAGTTTCATCTCTCGCTAGTGTTGATCCTTTCTTGACTCTGTCACTTGCGATTAAATCTCCTAGTGCAGGCGCATCAAGCGCTGCGGTTACCCAAACTTCCTCTCTTCCAGGGTCCAGTGCTTCTTCCTCTCCTGGATCAACCATTACACCCGCAAAGTCTTCCCCAACAAACCCCAACAACTACTCCTTACTTTACATTTAAGCGATAACTTTCCTCGTGATTATTCTCCTTTTATGGTCAGTCAGTTTATATATCTGCACCTATGTACGCTATTTAAACACTTTTAAGTCTCGAACTGATCGTTTCCCCCAGTTTCCCGAGACGAACACATAGCTCTGGATGAGCACAACTTCTTCGAGGCTTGCATAAATCAGCGCCACTCAGTCTTAACAAAGATATGGTATTTGAAGCACGCGAGTACGCCAAAAAAATTTCTGTCGCTGGAAATCTTTCACAAGGATGAATCGCCAGATAAACTGAAACAAATGGGTGAAGGAGAAAATATTGGACTGGTGTGTTCTAAGGTTGAACTATCAGCTGCGCGAGTAGAGAGGAAAGTCGTAGATACCCGGTAAGGTTTTATACAAATAATCTTGCCTCACTGGGATTCTGTTGTTGTATTTCATCAAATATCATTGAATTTACATATACACATGGTGAGAGACAATAACATATGAAAAACTATTACGTTAATCTATGGACGCAATGCTCACTTACTCGGCATACGGTACACAAAAATGCTTTTCAGAGATCAGGATTAGTTCGCAACAAATTCAAGAAGTTCAAATAATTTTTAAGTGTCTGCATGTGAGTACGTACAAAAGGGAAATTCATGTCTACCGGGAAAAAGCAACTCGATTTTAAATTCATTCCCTCTCTTATTCTACTTGTAGGCACAGAGAGGCGTGTAAATATAACCTCCAAGATCCTGACCCGATGTCCAAAAAAGCAGCTCATTTCACACAGCTTGTGTGAGGTGCTTCTAAACAACTCGGCGTTGGTGTTGCCGTGACAAAAAATGGGAAAAAGAATTGTGTATACGTTGTTGCTTGATACAAGCCTATGGAAGCTCGAAAGACCCAAAGAGCCTTAAAACTAATTTCAAAAAAGGATTATTTGATGCTTCCATTGACTGTGCTGCCAGCTCAAAGAAAAAGTTTTTCATTGCCGTGAAAGATCATTGCTTCTTATCAGCTTAGTCGTTGAAGCTTATTTGTTACTGGGCGGGTAATGTTAAGAAAACGCCTCCGTGAAGAGCTACGAGTAGCAAGAAAAAACTTTAAAAGTCTTACTTTTGACTTTTTGTTGGTTATTGTAACAGGTCAAACAATAGTGAAGTGCAGCTCTTACGTATTGCTTTAAATCTCAGCCTCGTTGCCTTAAGCTGGCACGAAGTGAAAGACTTAATTTTCTATTTCAAGTGTCGCGCTCGCCACTACACCTTACCCATAGCTGATTATGTCAGGCCCAAAGGCACCCGTCTTACTCATCATAGCTCTGATCAAGACGTACTAATTCCTAAGTGCCGTACAAAGCTTTTTCAATTTAGTTACTTTAATCGTGTCGCTAAACTCTGGAATACCTTACCTGTATCCACTCGTATTATTAGTTCTCTCAATCAGTTTAAATCTCACGTACTCCAACGCTATTCGGCTGCTTTTCGTACAAACTATGACGTCACTAACTTCAACACCTGGAAGTCGATCT